ACCTTACATATGTATAATTCCTTACATTTTCCATCTCTATTCCTTCCCATTATGTTTTGATTTTTCCTTTCCTATAAGTTCCCCTTCTCCTATAAGTTCCTGTGAACGATTATTCCCCATTTTCATCCCCCACGCCTGCCTCGTTCAGTATACTTACCCCATTTTTACACTACTCCAATGTCTATCCAAGTAAGTATCCCTTAATTACCGTTCCCATCTCTCATCCCTCACAACAGCCTTCTCTTCGCACCCTCATGTTGAAGTCATCACTACATTATACTTCCTCCCTTTAACTCTCTCCTATTCAATTCTTTAACATTTGGCTTCAAAACATTTTTAATCCTACAAACATCCCTGCTCTGGCACTACCCTGTTTAACTGTCCTTACTGCGTAATAATGGAAGTGAAGCGTTACTATTTTTGGCACCTTAATATAAGGGTTTCCCAAAATCTCCTCATATTTTACTATCCTTTTTATCGCTTCTTCCCACTTCTCTCTAACTGCAGTACCACTTGATATTATTTTTATATAAAGCCTCCAGCTGTTGTTTTTCCACCCATCGACATATTTCCACCCCATAAAACACTATACTCCTCACCATTACATTGAATAATATAATCCCGGATAATTTCTAATATAATCTCCATTCCCCTCCCATAATTACCCTCCCCTTAGCCAATTGATTGATAATGTATATTTCATTCCTAGTATTACAACTCGGCCTATATCCCATATATGCATAATTCCTTACATTCTCTACTTCTACCCCGTCCGTACTATTTTGTTTTTCTCTTCCTCGTAATTCTCTCTTCTCCTCAATTTCCATAAGTTACTATAAACATGTATTCCTCACTTTCACGCCCGTTAAATATATTTATCTCAGATTTTTACACAATTACATCAAAATTTTTCCATGTCTATCCATGTAAGCATATTTTGATTGCATTTGCATTTCTCTTCCCCCACTAAACAACAACATTCTTTTCCCACCCTTAAGTCGATGTCCTTCTTTATCACTACATTATTAGTATTTATATTTTCTATTTTTTCCTTAATTTTCTTCTAGCATTCCTTTTTTTTCTCTATTCTTCCTCTCTCTTTGCTCCCTTCTATCATTAGCACTCCTTTATACATTTCTTTAACATATGCCTTTACTATATTTTAACCCCGCAAGCATCCCTCTCTTACACCAATTGTTTGAGTTTACTGCCTAATAATGGAACTGAAACTTACATCATTTATTAATTTTATGATGTTAATATTAGGGCCNTTTATCCACCATTCTATCAATATTTTCCAATGTCTATCTATGTGAGCAATTGTGGACTCTTCTTCATCACCACTCTATCCACCCTCTAGTTGAAGTCCCTATTTATCACTACATTATTATAATTGACATTATCTATCCTTCCCGCAATTTTATTTCTGCATTTTTTTTTTATTTGATATATACGAACAATATCACACATTCTTTCTCCCTCCATTTTATTCATCTATCATTTCCGCTCCCCTAGCCATTGCTTTAACATATACATACTTTCAAAATATTTGCTAACCCCACAAGCAACCCTCCCTTTGCTCTACCGTATTTCTCTGACCTTACTAGTGAACTGAAACTTCAATACTTTAAAATGCTAATATTAGGGCTTTGTAAAAATTAAATGGTATTGATTATTAGTGTTCAATTAGTGTTTTTAATTGCAATTCTAAGCTTTACCGTACAACATGATCAATGTTTCAGCGAAAAGAGAAGGCATTCTAGTCAAATGTTTCAATTGCTTTTTATTTATTAAATTATGATTACACAAAGTGTTCTTCATACTTTGATATATTATGTATTCTAGTCCAATGTTTTAATTGCTCTTTATTTATTACATTATGACTATATAAAGCGCTCGCCCTACTTTGATATATTGTGAAATGTATTAAATTCCTTCAGCCACTCCCTCACCTGCTCCTGACTGATTTTTAATATCTTCAAATCCCTCCCGGTATCTCTATTAAATCTACCTTTCGCGCCTATCTCCAATACCTTCTTCCTCCTTATTTCCTTTCTGATATCCCCATCTTCCTGTCATTTCAACCTCTCCTCATGTTTTGCTACCTTTTTATCATTTCTTCCCACTTCTTCCTGCTTTTTATCTCCCTTCTTATTACATAATCTGGTGTACTTCTTTACAATTGCAATACTCACATGATACACTATTATATAAAATGTCTGTTATTATTGCCCCTATAAAGTGGTGTACTCCTTACCATTACATTGAATAATATAATCCCGGATAATTTCTAATATAATCTCCATTCCCCTCCCATAATTACCCTCCCCTTAGCCAATTGATTGATAATGTATATTTCATTCCTAGTATTACAACTCGGCCTATATCCCATATATGCATAATTCCTTACATTCTCTACTTCTACCCCGTCCGTACTATTTTGTTTTTCTCTTCCTCGTAATTCTCTCTTCTCCTCAATTTCCATAAGTTACTATAAACATGTATTCCTCACTTTCACGCCCGTTAAATATATTTATCTCAGATTTTTACACAATTACATCAAAATTTTTCCATGTCTATCCATGTAAGCATATTTTGATTGCATTTGCATTTCTCTTCCCCCACTAAACAACAACATTCTTTTCCCACCCTTAAGTCGATGTCCTTCTTTATCACTACATTATTAGTATTTATATTTTCTATTTTTTCCTTAATTTTCTTCTAGCATTCCTTTTTTTTCTCTATTCTTCCTCTCTCTTTGCTCCCTTCTATCATTAGCACTCCTTTATACATTTCTTTAACATATGCCTTTACTATATTTTAACCCCGCAAGCATCCCTCTCTTACACCAATTGTTTGAGTTTACTGCCTAATAATGGAACTGAAACTTACATCATTTATTAATTTTATGATGTTAATATTAGGGCCTTGTAAAATTTAATAGGTAGCAATTTTTAATATTCAATTAGTGTTTTTTATTGCAATTATAACCTTTACCACACAACTTGGACAATTTTCCGATGCTAAATTACTTCTTATGTATTAAATTATGTTTACACAAATGCTTATCAAAGTTTGACCAATTGTGGAATTTATTGAATTCTCTCATCCACTTCCTCATCTGCTTCGGTATAATATATAAAACATCTATCTGTTATTTTTCCTTCCATCCACATATTTCCACCCCATAAAACACTTTACTCCTCACCACCACATTGCATAACATTCGCTTTCTATCCTAATTATCATTGAATAATTTCTAACTTAACACCCATTCCCTTTCCATCATGGTTACCCTCTTAGCCAGTTGATTCTATATCTCTACCCCCCTTCCATAATATTTTACCTTTTATTTATTATCCCATTTTTTTACACCATTCTGTCAAGCTTTCCGTTCTCTATTTATGCGAGCATTGGTTGATTAACTATTTCATCTTTCATTAACTATTCTTCGCACCCTTTAGTTGAATTCCCTTTCTATCACTACATTATTATAATTTACATTATCTATCCTTTCCTCAATTTTATTCTAGCATTTCTCTTTTTTCTTTTTTTGTTTGATATATATGCGAACACTATCGCGCATTCTTTTTCCCTCCCTTTAATACTTCTATCATTACTATTCCCATAGCTATTGCTTTAATATTTATTTTAAAAACATTTGTTAACCCCACAAGCAAGCCTCCCTTTGCTCTACCCTATTTCTCTGACCTTACTCCCTAATAATAGAGTGAACTGAAACTTAAACCCTTTTAAAATGCTAATATTAGAGCTTTGCAAAATTTAAATTATCGTTTTTAATTGCAATTCTAAGCTTTACCATACAACATGGACAATTATCCAGCGAAAAGAAAAGGCATTCCAGTCAAATGTTTCAATTACTTTTTATTTAGCAAATTATGATTACACAGTGTTCCTCATACTCAGATATATTGCGCAACGAATTAAATTCCTTCACCCACTCCCTCCCCTGCTCTTGACTGGTTTATAATATCTTCAAAGCCCTGTCCCTAGCTCCATCAAATCTACCTTTCGCTCTTATCTGCAATACTTTCTTTCTCTATATTGCCTTCCTGATTTCCCCATTTCCCAGTCATTCCAACCTCCTCATATTTTGCTACCATTTTTATCACTTCTTCCCACATCTTCCTGCTTTTTCCTGCACTTAATCGAACCCCCTGTATCTGTTGTTTTTCCTACTATCAACCTATTTCCATCCCATGAAACACTATATTCCTCACCATCACACTTAATAACAACATTCTCCTACCCCAATTATCTTTACATAATTCTTGACCTCACGCCCATACCATTCCCACGATTGCCTTCCTTGGTAGGTAATATCCATTTAATCCCTATTACTATCACACAACATATATCCTAAATGTACATAATAATTACCCCTTCCATAATATTTTGTTTTCTCCTTTCCCCTTCTTCCTCTCTTATTTACAGTATCCATAAGTTCTTTTAAACGCATATTCCCTATTTTCATCCTTACGCACGCTCCATTAAATATAATTATTCCATTTTCTACAAAATTCTATGATGTTTCCCTATGTCTATCCATGTAAGCATCCCTTAATTGCCTTTTCAATCTCTCTTCCGTCCACTCCTCTTTTCAATTACTTAACATTTGCCTTCAAAATATTTTTTAACCCCACAAATATCCCTCCCTTAGCTCATCCCCGTTTTTCTGACCTTACTGACCTAATAATGGAACTTAAATAATTCATTATTTTTATAATGTTAATATTAGAAAGCCAAACATGAATAACTGATAATTTCAATTGCTATTGAAAATGTTTTAAACTATTTTCTGTTTTATTATATTTCACTATTTGTAAAAACTACAGATGATAAAATTATTATTTTAACTGCTTAAATTTTTTTGGAATACTTTACTTGCATCGTTTTTTCATTTCATATCTAGTTTATAGTTCATGTAACAGTTTTTAGTAATATTTATATTTAATTTGTTTTCTTGTCTTTTTTTACAGTTTCTCCAAAAAACGGAAGCACTTTGACGATGAGATGTTTTTTTTTATTCAATTGGAACAATTGATAGTTACGAATTCTGATCTTCGTCATCCTTCTTTCTCCAACCCGTGTGTTCTTTTCATCAATTAGGAAAATTCTTCAGTTATTTAAGGTAAGGATATATCCAATAATCATATAGTATATGTAATATAGAGTTTATTTGCTCAAGCCATACCCTAATTATAATAATTAAAGGTAAAAATGATGGTTGGAATTTTGTGTAAACATTTCATAATTAGCTGTGCCATAGATTATGTTAAAAATTATTTATCTTTATTTGAGTAATAATTTCGTGCATTGCAGTTATCAAAAATTATAGTCCTAAATGTAAATGGTGCTTTGTAACTTACAAATCTTTTCTGCATCAGATAATTTTCTATATGCATATGTTTAATTTCTATTACAGCTTATTTACTTCTTCACCAAAAAATATTAATATTAACTTTAACTGCTACTATATTTAACTATTTCTAAAGAACTTTTTGAAAATTGATCACTCCTTATTTTTAAAATTTAAGTATTAGGGCTACTCAAAATTTAATTGGTTTAATTATTAGCATTTTTAATTGCAATTCTAGTCTTTACCACACAATTTGGATAATTTTCCTGGGTGCAAATTTTCCTGCAAAAAGAAAAATCATTCTAATTAAATGTTCAAATTGTTTCTTATTTATAAAGTTATGATTGCATAAATACTGCTTATAATTTGACATTTAGTGCAATGTATTGAATTACAAATTCAAACGACTAGAATTTATATTAAAACAATTACAAACTCAAAAAAACGATAATGAATTTTCTTTAGTTTAGTTTAATTCATAAACTACAAAGATAGTAGCAAAAGAATTTACATGAAGTATACATTTTTACCACTATATACTTAATTATATTTTGTAATTATCAAGTTCTGTACTTTGGAGACTAAAATTGATTAATGCGACAGATGATTTAATGGAAACTCAAAAGTTCCTGAAATGTTGTGGACCGTCGACTGTACCAGTCTTCTTTCAATCCAGAACGTAGAAGTACTGGGAAGTGCTTTTTTCCACTGGAAAATAGGATTCATCATCACATCATCATCATAAGGTCGTCAGTCCTAAGACTGGTTGGACACGCATCTCCACTACAAAAGTAGTTCACACATTCTTTCTTCCTCCCTTTAATGCTTCTATCATCACAACAACAAACTACGATTGTTGACAATGAATTCGTTACGTACTATTGGGTACATCAGGGACCAGGATAATCATGAGGGTAAGTGTCAGCATTGTTTAAACAAAATAACAATAATTACATATTAGTTTAGGACAAACTAATTATAAATATTTTAGCTTACTCCAGAATGTATTCGTTAAAAGAGGTTCAGGGGGATAGAAGTTTTTATTATAAACAATTACAAACTTTTAACTTTTGCAGCAGGAAGAGCAAACTTTAATAACTAATGATTTCAATTTTAACGAATTCGTATTGCTAAAAATAACCATAATTTCTTCTGTTTTTTTTATATCACAACAAAAAGTACAGATGTTAAAATTATTAACTGATACATACACGAAAATTCACCCCTTATTATTTTTTTTGTATTACTTGTGTCATTATTTCATTTCAAGTCTAATTTATAGTTTATTTAGCAGTATTCCTATTTAATTCGTTTTTTTGTCCTTTTCTATAGTTTCTCCAGAAGAATGAAAGCACTTAGACGATAGGATATTTGATTTGATTCCACAAAAGCAACTAATAGTTACGAATTCTGCACTTCAATATCCTTGGTCTTCGACTCCGTGTGCTGTTTTTCCAGTTGGAAATTCTTCATTTACTTAAGGTAGGGATACATACAATAATTATATAATATATTTCAGGGCTCATTTGCTGAAACCATACACTAATAATAACTAAAAGTATAGAGGTAACAATGACGGTTTCAATTTTGAGCAATTTCTAGTCAAATTTTATAATCAGATGTAACATAAATTTATATTTTTATAATTTACGAATTTTTTGTATCACTTAATTGTTTATATACAAATATACACATGCATACTTAATATCTTTTTCATGATATTTACTTTCTCGTCTGGAAATTGTAACATTACCTAATGTTATCTTTTACAAATTCTAAAGTCAAAACATTCCTACAGCAGAAAGGAAAAATTAATCTATGTTGGAATAATTAATTAATCTGATAATATGATTAAGCTTTATTGAAACATAAAGTTACTTCCTATATTTCTGAAATTTGTTTTTAACTTACCTTTATTAAACCTATCTATTCTTTCTTCCTTCACTTCACTAAATATGACCCTCTATTCCTTACAATATTTTTTTCAGGTGGCTCGGACCACCCTCGTACTTATTCAGCAATTCACATATTCTACACCATCTGCCCTCTTCCTTTTTCCAGTATTTAAATCCCCTACACCAGGGATGGCGAACCTTGAGGTACCGTCGTGCCACTTTTATAAAGAAAAGTTTAATCAGGTCATAGACGTGCCATCAAATAATTTTGTCTCTGTAATTATCGGGAAAATAATGATAATAAATAATATCAACTCAAAATTCTACAAGAAAATAAGAACATTTTGCAATGTTTAAATTATACGTGTAATTTAAATTAAAGTAAAATTAGTGTGACTTCTGTTTTTGCAGATTAGATGACGTATGTTAGGGTTGTAAGATGTTAATTTTAGCAGAATGCATGCTGAACTGGAGTCATCTACTAAACGGTTTGTAAGAGCGAGTTTTTGATGTTATTAATCTCTGAAAATATGACTCGCAGGCATAGGTTGATGAAAATATTATTAAAATATCATATGCCAGCTTCCTCAAAAAATTAAATATGTTTGTTATCGCATTCAATGTTTCCAAAATTTTGTTATTAGCATTTTCACTCGTATTATGCGTCGATCTTTCTGTTTCAATTATTTGTTACTTTTTTCGTTGTTCCAACAACTTTTTGAAGTATATTGAACTAGACTAGAAATCAATCAGCTGAATTTCAGATTCTGCAATTTATTTTATCAAATGTCACATCAGGGTACATAATAAACTTTCGTATTAGTATTTCCGATAATTCTCTGAAGTGAGAAAATCTTGCTGAAAATTCGTTGATTAAAGAATCAATGACAGAAACATTAGTGACGTGCCCAAAATATTGTGTCGCGTGCCACTAATGGCACGCGTGCCATTGGTTCGCCATTCCTGCCCTACACTCATTCCCTCTTCTAAATTTTGCTAGCACGCTTATTTCCCTTCCCTCCTTCTAAATAACTTCTTAAGATTAATGTAGAAAATAAAAACACAAGCACAAGTTACAAATATGTTTATTGTACCACAATTTACATTTCGCCACACAGTGGCTTCGTCAGATGGAAGAAGTGATACTCTTAAATTTAATTACACAACCCTTATATACTTAATTATTCTAGTGGTGTATTTGTCCTTTAGTTTCAAGATGTAAAATTTTGTAATTGTCGTCCAAATTATGATTGTTATCTTTTAATTGAAGCACATAAGTCGAATTTGAGTTGTTATTATCAAAACTGTTTTGTGTAATTTAATGCTTGAAAAATAAAGGCCTTAAATTAAGCCTATTAGAAAGTCTAGAGATCAATAAATTAGATTAGGATTAGTTATTAATGATCAAATAGATATAACTTTTTCTCCACTTTTAAATGGAGCTTTTAGTGTTATTTTTAGTTTAGACCCCAACTGAAATAATTAAATATATAAGGGTTGTGTAATCAAGTTTAAGAGTATTATTTCTTCCACCTGAAGAAGCCACTGTGTGTCGAAATGTAAATTGTGGTACAATAAACATCTTTGTAACTTGTGTTTGTGTTTTTTCATTAAAATGGAATTACAACATCTAAAAGCTTCATCAATTCAATTTTTAAAATTAAAATCTTCGTCAACCCCACCACATATCAGTTGACCCCTCTATTTTTCTTAGATCCTCTCCCCTTATTATTTCCCTGTATCTGTTTCTCATTAATTCTCCTCTATCGGCATCTTCTCTCAACCACTCCCTCACCTACTTGTTTTTTCCCTTTCTCACTTTCGTCTTTCCTCAACTTCTTTCATAAGTTACTATAAACGTAAATTTTTTTTTACTACAAACACGACTTCACCCCTATTTTTTTACACCATTCTAGCAAAGTTTTCCCATGTCTCTTCCTCTTCTTTCCACCCTCATGCTACTGTCATTACATTATTATCATCCTCAATTTTTTCTGGTTTTCCTCCCTTTTCCTCATTGATTTATATATACGAACGCTACCACCTATTTTTACTCTCTCTTTTTTAACCCCTCTATCATTACCACTCCCCTATCCAATTCTTTAACGTTTGCTTTCAAAACATTTATTAACCCTACAAACATCCCTCCATTAGCCCTTCCCATTTCTCCCACTGTACAGAGCTAATAATGGAACTAATACAAAGATCATTCATTTTTTTTAGTATATTGGTAATTAAGGCTTCCCAAAATTTAATTTGTAGCAATTTTTAATGCTCAGTTAGTGTTTTTGATTGCAATTAATTAACTCAACTTGGGTAATTTTTATTTTCCAACAAGAAATAAACATTTCTAAACAATGGATTAAGTAAATTGCTTTTTATTTATTAAATTGTGATTAGACAAAGTGCTCCTCATAGTTTCACATCTTGTGTAATGTATTAAACTGGGAATTTAAACTATTAAAATTTACTTTAAAACGATTACAGACTCAAGAAAATGATATTAAAATTCTTTTGAAAGTTTAGTGTTTGCGTTAAGAAAACCAAACTTGAATAACTGATTTGTGTAATTAAAGATGATCTACATTATTTTCTGTTTTTTATATTTGACTGTTTTGAAAAAGTACAAATTCTAAATTCAAAACTTTTTATTGCAGCAGAAATAGTAGAACCAGTTATCTGTATCAAATGCAAAAATTTTCTTATTTCTTGAATTACCATGTTAGATAAAAGTGCTCCACATAATTTGACATTGTGTCTTGTATAAGTATTTTGCAATATATTAAATTACCAATTTAAATGATTGCCATTTATTTCAAAACTGTTACAAAATTCTTTTACAAGTTAAGTTTGATATATGAACAGTAAAGGGAAAACTTTTACATTAACACCAAATACATTATTAGACATAGTAATTATTATGCTCTCTACTATGAAAATTAAAGTCATCACAAAATAGTATTTTTACTCTAGATGTGTTTGTCAAGAAAGTTTTTAAAGGGATAGATTGTCAATTTTTGGAATAATTATTAATGTGCCCTACTGTCATTACATTATTTTTTCTGGTTTTTCTTATTTGTTGAATTGCTATCGATTTTAGAAAAAGTGCTCCTCATAATTTGAAATCATGTCTTGTATCAAGTAATTTGCAATATATTAAATTACGAATTTAAATGATTGCGATTTATTTCAAAACAGTTACAAACTCCAAGAAAAAGATAATCAAATTCTTTTAGAAGTTATGTTTGATTTATGAACTGCGTAAGGAAAACTTTTACATTAACATCAAATACATTATTACATATTGTTATTATTATGTTCTCTGCTATGGAAATTAATATTAAAAAAAATTATATTTTTACTCTAAAATGTGTTTGTTAGGAAATATTTT